TAAGTGCAGGGTGGGGGGGGGGATTATAATCCCAATGAAATCTTCTATTGAAGTACCATGCCACAACTGTGTATCCCATGTGGTTGCAGCATGGTCCCATTTCCTTCAATTGTTGCGTTTGACAAGCTGCAATGCCTGTTAAATGCAACATGCTGCGTATATTTTTTGGCACGACTCAAAGAGCCGTTCTAGGGTATGCAGCACTGTGGTCGCAGTGCTACTATTGCAGTGGGCACCCATGTAAACAAGACCTATAGGTTTGTCTGCCCCCATGAAATAGCAGGGTTTAAGAAGGCCTAAAGCACCTGAAGTGGGACCATTTTAGGTCATAGGTACATATGTTTGGGCTTTATTTAGGCAGCTTAGTGGGCATACTTTAGGTCTACTTTAACACATGGAATAAAGGAACATAAACTAACCTATGCTCATACTAACAGTCTTGCTGAAAAGACTAAATAAATAGTTATGGAATGGGATTAAATGCTGTCTCAAGTTTATCTTTAGTACAGTCCACCTCCCTAAAGGACTATGGATTTGTTCATGTGGTTTCTGTTCATATTGGCTGATCCTCCCTGCTATTAAAGATTGTGTAAACACATGCCTACACATGTGGCTAGCACTGAAGGGAATTTTAAGTAGCATTTTCTCTGGAAATTGTAAGTATGTCAACCTGTCCATTACCGTTGATGTATTCATCCCAGGGAGACTGTTAATATAGCTTCATGTTAATGCTTGAGTATAGATCTCTAAAAAGCCACTCAGGCCTGGGACTATAGAATTTTTTAAATATTGCACACATAATTGTGAAAAATTTATATTTGACCATTTAGTTAGCATTACTTTTTTTGTCAGAGGAAGACTTAAAGCTGCGAGTCGGACCTAGGAGACCCCCGAGACATCCTGTCAACTGCTTGACCACTGCAGTGTGCATAACAATAAAAAAAAAAAGCCTTTTTTCTAAGAGGAGTGTAAACAACTTAGGGCTGGGAGACTGCATGTGTTACAAGAATGAGGTCAGGCAGCAAATGTCATTTATTTTCTTAATTTATTAGAAAACAAAATGTAACCCTTTACGTACTCAACCTACATAAAGCACACTTAATCATTGTATTTTTGTAGTAAAATGCTTTAAATCGCACTTCCTGATCACATACAGTAAGTGAACTAATGTGAGTCATATACGTTTCCCCCACACGTCTACAAAGTTTCTAATAATGCTGTATAAGCCTCTCACCCATTCCTCCAGGTAGGGGTTGGTCTTTTGCTGCTGCACCATTCACATCTTCATAATCGGCTAGAGAGTAAGCTACAACAATAAGTTGGTATGAAAAGCTGTAGTGATATTTATAAGTCCTGTAAACGTACTAGCAATTGTGTAACAATATATCATGTTTTAAGGAACTGGAGTTTTTTTTATTTTTTTAAAGCAGGATGCCATTTAACTAATAAGTACAAATTAAAACTACCTAGCTTACTACTATCTCCCTGTGCTGCCATAGCAGATAATATGAAGGTCAATACCCAACAACCTCATAAAACGTGCCATCACCTCCAATGCACAGGGCCGGCCTTAGGCCTTTAGGCGCCCTGTGCGAGAAAGCTTTACAGCGCCCCTCAGTGACCACACCCTTTAGTGGCCACACCCCCAGTCACCACACCCATTACCCATATTTTTGGTAAAATATAAAAAGCGGGGTCACGTCGGGTAAGTAGACACCAAACATGTCAAGCTTTAAAATTGGGCGCAAAAAATTACCATGCCCAAAATTGACCATAGGTGACGCTTTAAAAGCTTTTACCGCTCATCAGTTTAGTGTTATCAGTGATTGATAGCCCTACAATTATTGCTCTCATTCCGACGTTCGCGGCGATATGTAACATGTGCGGCGTAATGGGCGAAATCGTCGTTTTCACACGTATGCGCACCCGACGCCTGTTTGCATGCGTGTATGTATGGGGGGGACTTTAAAAAAAATCTAATTCTTTTTTTATTTGTAACTTTACATTTTTGGGGGGGAAACTTTATTGCTATCACATAGGGGGGTTAGAAAACCCCCTTATGTGATAGCAAAATATGTTACAGGTCCTCTTTATGGAGACATCAGGGGTCTCCAAGACCCCTAATGTCACCTAGGACCCCCCTGAAGAAGCTGATGAAGCAAAGATCTGTTTCATCAGCTTCTCTCCAGCATCTGAAGCTGGAGAGTGACACAAGAATGCGGACGTGATGTAATATACATCACTTCCGCATTCTGACAGCGTAGAGGGGACCAGAGGGAGCTCGTGTACCGAGCTCCCTCTGATCCCATGTGACAGAGGCCATATGCTGGTCCCGGGCTCGCACTGGGCACAGCGGAGCCCGGGACCAGCTTGACAGCGGGAACCCCCCCCTGAAGGGTGAGGGGGAGAGAAGCCGCCCACAGGACGAGCTGTGTCGGCCGCACGGCGCCCTTGTTGCCATGGCGCCCTGTGCGGCCGCGCTGCTCGCACACCCCTAAGGCCGGCCCTGCCAATGCATGTGTGTTATTATTATTAAACAGGATTTATATAGCGCCAACAGTTTGCGCATTGCTTTACAACATGGAAAAGACAGTACAGTTATACAATTTCAGTACAATAGTGTTAGGAGGGATTACAATCTAGTAGGAGGAGCAAGTGATACAAAAGGTAATAATTGTTTAGATTGAGTTAGTGGTAGAAGTAAAAGGGCAGTTATGTTCAGCTAGGATAGGCTTCCCTGAAGAGAAGAGTTTTTAACGTAGACAGCATAAGCGGACAGATTGGGGTAGGAAGTTCAAGAGGTTGGGAGACACTCTGGAGAAGTCCTGGAGGTGAGAATGGGAGGAGGTGATGAGAGAGCTAGAGAGCAGGAGGTCTTGAGAGGCGTGAAGAGGATGATTTGGGTGATATTTTGAGATGAGGTTAGAGATGTAGTTGGGGACAGAGTTGTGGATGGCTTTGTATGCTGCTGTTAGTATTTTGAATTTTATTCGTAGGGCAATTGGGAGCCAGTGGAGTGTTTGGCAGAGAGGGTGGCAGACACTGAACGGTTGGTAAGATGGATGAGTCTGGAAGCAGCATTCATGATACACTGAAGGGGGGATAGCCTGCTTAGAGGTAGGCCAACATGGAGGGAGTTACAGTAGTCGAGGCGAGATATTACAAGGGAGTGAATTAGAAGCTTTTGTTAAAAAGGGACACATTTTAGAAATGTTACGGAGGTTGAGTCGGCAAGATTTAGATAGTGATTGGATGTGGGGCTAAAAGGAGAGCTCAGAATTAAGGATTACCCCGAGCACCCTGGCTTAATGGGAGGGGTTGATTGTAGTGCTGTTGATTGTGCTAGAGAAGTCGGGTGAGGGAAGACGGAGAGGAGGAAATATTATAAGCTCAGTTTTGGACAGATTGAGTTTGAGGCAGTGGAGTGGTTTTAGCTGTTAGTAGATCGTTAGTAAGTTTTAGAAGGCCAGTTTCTTTGAAGTGTTGTGGACGAAAGCCAGATTAAAACGGGTCCAGGAGATTGTTAATGGTAAGATGGTGGCTCAGGCGGTTGTAGACCAGCCGTTTAAGAAGTTTGGAGGTAAATAGGAGCAAGAAGATGGGTCTCAAGTTGTTCAAAACTGGTGGGCCCCAAAGAGGGTTTTTCAAAATGGGGGTCACCAATGTTTGTTTTTTAAGAGGGGTAGGAATGACACCATTAGACAGGGAGAGATTGAAGATGTGAGTAAGAGAGTGTAGAGTAGAGCTAAAGGGTGAACGGAGTAGTGAGGAATGGGGTCCAGGAGGCAGGTGTTTAGGTGTGTGTTAGACAAAAGAGTGGCGACTTCGTCTGTGTTAACTGGATCACATGAAGAGAGTATGGAGTGTGGTGGTTGACAAGGTGTGTTTGGAGTGGAAGAGGCCTGGACAGTGGAGATTTCATAGTGAATTATTTTAATCGTATCTCTGAAGTGATTGGCTATCTCCTGGGCAGTCAGTGAGTTGGATGGGGTTTGGGGGGGGGGGGGGGGGGGGTGAGGGAGTTAA